CTCAGATCACCTCCCTCTCCTCCATGTGCTTTAGTATATCTTCAAGGAGAAGATCATGTTCCATGATCTTCCCAGTCACAGAGGTGAGGCTGACAGGTTGGTACTTCCCAGGGTCTTTCTTTCTACCCTTTTTAAAAATCAGTGCAACATTTCCCTTTTTCCAGTAACCAGAGACTTCACCTGACTGCCATGACTTTTCAAATATTATGGAGAGTGGCTTGGCAACCACATCAGCCAATTCCCTTGGGACCCTGGGATGCACCTCGTCAGGTCCCATAGACTTCTGTATGTTCAAGTTCCTCAGGTGGTCACCGATCTTCTCTTAAAGTGGGAGGGATTTTTCTCCCCCAGTCCCTGCCTCACAGACCATTCACTCAAGAGGTGTGGAGAGAGAGGTTACCACTGAAGACTGAAGCAAAAGAGTCACTGAGTACCTCAGTCTTCTCCTCATCTGCTGTTACCAGTTTGCCAGTCTGGCTCACTTTCTTTGATGTTCATTCTCTGGATAATATGCCTGTAGAATCCCTCCTTCTTATTCTTTGCATCCCTTGCTGAGTTCAGCTCAGCTGCACCATGGCCTTCAGGACCCCATCCCTACACAACTGGGCAACATGCCTATAGTCTTCCCAGGATACCTGTCCCTGCTTCCACTGCCTGTGCATCTCTTTCTTACCCCTTATTATCTTGCCCTAATTTCACCTGATGACAAGCAGCACCATTCAAGAGGGACTCACTTTATGCCAGAATCAGGCTTTTCAGCTTTAGTCCTCCTTATATTGGTGCAACAGAGAAGTAAAGGCTGCTTCCCTACACATAATCGCAGTACATCTCCTCATCTTGATCACCAAATCCAAGGATAAACGGTGTTCAGAGGTTTTTCCCATCTGTTCCACTTCATTGTAAAATCAAAGTACGGACCTGGTTCTCTCCCTGCTGTATTTCTTTACATCTCCAGTCTCCTTCGTCTCCTGGTTTTACACGGTGAGCAGACTCAAGCTTACTGCACGGATCTGCACGCAGAAATGCCCTATTTGAATTTCCATCTGTCAATAACATTAAAGCAGAACCACCACGGCAATTACAAGTGTACACAATAATCTTGTCGTCCAGTGTCTTTAGCACATCCCAGAATGCATTAAGATAGTGCCAGGAGAGATTCAGCTCTGTTGGCTCAGCTGTAAATTTGCAATCTGTACAAAAACACCCAAGTGTCAATCAAAAGACGTTCCTGCTCTCCGCGTGGTTCACAATGCATAATTTAGCTACTACGCTTGTCAGGTTCTCCACGCTGCTCTTCTACCCGATGGTAAACGTGTTCACTAACCCAACTGTCATCGACAAAGGAAAACAGCACATGGAGATAACAGGCTAAAGGAGGCAAGAGACCTCTTTTCCTTTCACAGTTAAAGAAATTGCTAGCAAGGGAAAGTTTAGTTAGACTTAAATTTTTAATGCTCAATGGGTAAAACATCCCAAGGGATGGAGGATGTTGAAAAAGAGCCGTATTGGCCCTGTGCTGAGGAGGAGAACAGTGTTTGGGTAAGACAAAGGAGGGGATAAATGCTGTCCCTGTTTCCATTCTGGCTAACATAATGGGGAAATTTTAACCAACTGATGAAAAGTCTATGTTACATCATACCCCTATGGTCCAGAAAACCAAGCCTACTACACCACCATAGAAATAATGGGGAAATTTTAACCAACTGATGAAAAGTCTATGTTACATCATACCCCTATGGTCCAGAAAACAAAGCTTACTACACCACCATAGCCTTGCCACTGTCCAGAAACTTTGAAGCAGGTTGTCCTTCCTCATGTGAATTACAACTGCTGAGGGGCCTTGTCAGAAAGGATGAAGAATTCACACTCAGCTACATCAGCCAGTATCTACCCACTGGTCTGCACCACAGTTAATATGCAATAAAAAACAAAACAAAACAAAAAAGAAATCTCTGTCCCAGGACGTGACTTTAGAGCTGATCAGTGCCAAAGCTACAGACCATAAGGACAGCTTCACACTTGCCTCAGCTAGTTCATGAATAAACATCCAATTCATTCAAATGAGTTCTATATTAACTAATTTAAATAATTTTCATTTTGCTTTGAATGGTAAACAGATCTATTCTGCCAGGATAGTTGAGTTTGCAATTCAAATTACACACCGATTTGTAATGAGAAAAATATAATTAATGGCAAAGCTTGAAGTAACTACAATTTTACTCCTTTGATTTCCTGCAGGGAAGGAGGGGATAGAGGGCGAAGCTCGCAGGCACACGCTCACTCCTACCGTCCTTCCATAAGCCAACACATTTTATTGCAAAGTCAACTACTTGGCTTGAGCAGTCCTGTTCCAGTCCATTGCATCATAATGTCATGGGAGGACATAACATGACTTGACATTATACTCACAGGCCCCATGATGCAATGCTAGCGTCACCCAATAAATAATCATGTAACAGTCCGTAAATTAAATGACTTCCTTCTATTGGGATCATAAACAATAATTATTTGGCAGCTGCCCCTTAAAAGCTCTGCGTGTGCAGAACATTAAATCAAGCTCTATTGATTTGCTAAACTGAACCGGTCCGTTTTTTCGCATCTCTCCCCCATCTAATGAAATTCTTCGTCCTGTCACTCTGTACCATTCTTCTCTGGCATCACATTTATAAGATGAGTGCTGATCAGTCCAATCTGATCAGTAGGTAGAACCAGAGCATAGTCCCAGTGCTGCCCATTAAACCAGTCCTCTTCCGCAGATCTGCTTTTTTAACCAAAGCCTTCAGCTCCTGATTAAAATCAAACCCTAACGACAGATAACTGGCCATGCTGTTTGCATGGTCGTGCCAACAGATATCCTCATTGTAATCAAAATGTGCAGAATCAGGCCCGTAGAAAATTGTGCTTGCAATTTGAAGCTGGCTTTCATTTCTTCCAAAAGTTTGGCAACAAAATAGTGTGCAATGCTAAAAAAGGCAAAAAAAAAAAGCCTCCACGGAGTTCACAGAGAACATCACTTTCTCAATAACCAATGCGAAGCCTGATCCTGCAGGCTTCACCAGCTAAAACTCTCAGCACTGCAATGAAATTTGGCTCATTAAGATAGATCAGCAAAGCAATTAAGCACAGGACAAACTCCAGACATCTGTGTACAGTAGGAAGTCTAGTATTCACAAGCTACTTTTAAAAGCCGGTCAGAGCTCAGTTCTCCCTGTGGAAGGCAAGGGGCACTCTTGAAAAATTCAGCTTCTTCCCTGTGTTGTCCCAGTGGGAGCTATGATCTTTCGAAAACCCACCTTTGAAGGCTGCAGGCAAACACCCAGAGGAGCTCTGCCATTTACGAGCACATCTTTTCCAAGTGAGGAAAGTCCTGAAGGCTCAAATCCTCCTGGGCACTTTCAATGCCTCGTTCCAAAATACAACAACTCAAGCTCTCAGATGCTTAAGTCTCTTTTGAAATTACAACCTACGCATTTAATTTATTCTTTCTGAAAATTAAACTAAGATACAATCAATAGAGTTTGTTCCCAGCGAATGTGAGGAGGTGGGGGCAGAGGGGGAACAAAACAGGGCAGTTGCCCAGATTTAAGGCCCTGGTATACAGTTACATCACCCAACCAGGGGAGACAGGAGGTCTGACGCACTGCACATTCACAGTCATTCAAGCAAGACAATTCACACAAAGTAGCCACAACCCAAAGAGCAGATTCCAACATTTCCATGAAAAGCAGTTGCCTCTGGTTATAAAACAATCGTTATTTTCTATTACAACTGTCGATAAGATCTCTTACCCCTTGACCCTGGCATTTTGAGATTTAGTTTACGGCACTGTACACCTTTCTGGTAACATTGATTATAATCCATGTAATACAAGGTAGTTTAAGAGACCAATAAAATAAAATATCTAACCCTTCTCACATCAGTTTGATTTACTAGTGCTAAGCCAACAGATTTCTCAGCCATATTTGTCTTTAAGACTTCAATCTTCTATTTATTCAAAAGACACAGACCAGAACAAAAAGGTAAGTTTAGCTCAGAGGTCGGCACATGAGAGACAGGAATAAGCCCATTTCAGCTCTGATCAAAGACCGTGTCTACAGCTCACTTCAGTGGGAGGTCAGGCAACACCTGCACCAGGAGAAATCACACAAGGCACAGAAATGGCACATATATTTTTTCAACTATCACAGGCAACAGAAAGTAAAAGAATTACTGTAGCAGCAGAATCTGGACAAGCTGGAGCCTAAATACCCCTGATCCAGAACAAATGGGATATATGGTGGGAATACATATGAGTAGCAGTGACAAGTATGCCTCTGCTCGGAGCTATGTAGTGGTAAGAATACACAGCTGCTCCATTGTTGTACACAGCAAAAAAACCCCACGCTTTTCTTAACACTGGGGATCAAAATATATCATTAACAAGCCACTCAGTAACCTACAGCTCTCACATTCAGCTTTTGCGCACCTAAAAGTTGTTAATCAGGACATGTCCTAACCTATGATGACCAAATTTAGCCACCTTTAATGATGCCTATCTACCATCAGCATTCAAAGCTGCAAGAATCTGTCAATGTGAAGTTTTAAACTTTCAGGGCAAAATACTTGAGTGCACAGCCGACTTCTGGTTTTGGCTACACGCAAACTGATCTTGCTTGTTTTATTTTATTCTCATTCTGAATTTCATCCCTCCTTCCTACAAGAACAGGAGAATTTTCTTCCCTAACTGAAAATCATGCCTTTGTAATTTAGCAGTAAGTTTCCTTGTTAAGACAGCTTCCTATAGAAATGCCTCCTGTTGTTAACAACTAGAGCAAAAGCGCCTTTGCTAGAGGCCGACTGGCAGATCGAATCACCCATTGACCAGTGGTGACCTGACCCTGACTGCATCACCCAACACCAGTTGAGGATCTGGAGCACCCATTCCAGATCGACTGCAAGTCTGGAGATTAACCACCAGCCCAACACTAGAGCACGACCCTGACAAAACATGCAGGACTTACCATCTGGAGGCATCAGGACCTTGTTATTCTGTGTACACCAGCCAACGGGGTGAAGATCTGCTGTCATCACGTCACACCAGAAATCTGCCCTGCGGTCATCTCCATAGCCACAGTAACGGAGCAGTAAGAGCTGTCCACACGTTGTAATGATTGTAGCCACCCAATACGTGTCTGGATTGCTCTTGTTGGCCACTTCTAATTTCATGCCTGGTTGGAAACTGCTTTGAAGGCTGATTTCAACCTTATAAAATGAGAAAGGCATGGTGTTACCTTTTCCTCTTTTCAGGGAGACCCTTTCCCAGCTGAGCAATATAATGCTGTGCTCCTTAAACCAACCACCTCCCTCACAATCTGTTGGGGCAGGACCTTTACAACTTCATTGACATATATCCCATCATGCAAAGTCCCACATGCTCCAAAGGGGTGGTAACCTCAGGGGCACGAGATCTGAGAGAGGTCTGGTGCCCATCTTCACATCATAAAATCTCACCAATGCCTGGGAGAAAGGTGGTGTAACTGAAGTGAATTTGTATTTGCCACTGCACAGCTCCATCAGGCAAATCACAGGACACGTGCAAGTAGAAAGGCAGGTACTAAACACCTCAAGGAGTTAAGCCCAAGTCATATAACAACACTAAAGCACCTCTTGAGGCTTGACAAGCATCAAGGGATGAATGCTGTACCAAGCAAACCAAGGAGCATTTCCACTAAATCCATCCCAAGCAGCTCAAGCCTTAACCAATTTGCTCTCTGTTAAATAAGGTATGACCCATGGCTGAAAGGTGCATTTTGGATCACTGTCTTACCACCTGATGGAGATGTCACTTCCATTTATCTCACCAGTGACAAGTGACATGTAACTTCCTTCAGGACACTGGAGATGCCAGTGCATCTCTTCTAGGACACTCCAGGGACTTCTGTTAAACACTAGGGACTGCTGTAGGCACATCATAACGTATCTTCCAAGGGCCAGGGGGATGTCCCTAGCTGTTGTTGATACATAAGAGGTGGATGTCAGTCTGCTGGTTCAGATGGCAGTCTTAGTCTTGTCTTCAGAAAACCATCCAAAATGTAAGCATCTCATAGGAAATAAGCTAAGGACAGGTTCTCATGTCAGTCTGCTGGTTCAGATGGCAGTCTTCAGAAAACCATCCAAAACATAGCTTGTTATTTCCTATGAGATGCTTAAGGACAGGTTCTTACAGGTTTCTTAGTACCTTATCTCCTACTGAAACCAGAGAGATTATAAAGTCTGGTTTAAGCCCGTCTCCGCTTAACTTCTCATTTAAATGAGAGGTTAAAATGCCTCTTTTAGTCACAAAGATAAATACATGGTCTACTTGGCCACTTGAGGACTTCTCAGACTTGGGGATGCCAAGCTGCAGAGAAAACACTGTGCTCCTCCAGGATGTCAGCTAGTACTCTCTCAATCGTCTCACTCTATCTTAGGACATGAGTGTTGCCCAGCCAAAGGCACTTACTATTTGCATTTGACAACACTCCATGTGCTTTTACTGGTCACGTCCATCAGCAGCAATGTCTGGAGTGACAGAAGAGCTGAGGTTGGAAGGGACCTTTGGAGATCGTTTAAGACTGATGAAAGTCTGTGACATTTACTATACTTAGTCAGAAAATAGGAACTTGACTCTAGTGATGCTAATGGTGTTCATAAATAATCCAGGATACACTTTCATTTGTAGTTTTTCTCCTTGCGCTCAATGTAAGTAAAGACCAAGGTGGTATTCTGGAGGCAAGGGACTTGTGACTGGAAATCACAGAAAGAGGGGAAACAGAGAGATAGGGCCACGGTGTCCTACATGTTTTTACCCAGGACAAGCATCACCTACCCAAGTACTTGGTTCTCACACTCCTGAGACAGCATCTCCAGCAGGAGACTCAGAGATGGTTTCCTATGGGCCATGCTGGACTCTATAGTGTTGAGTGACCCTGATAGTCAGTAAACCCTGAGTTAAAAGGACAACTTTGGAGAAATAAGGCACTCTTGTAAGATGAACCTCTACAGGTTAGGATGGACAGCAATGAATAGAGAAGAAAAAAGAGATTAAGATTTAAAAAAAAAAAAAAAAAAAGAGTGCTTATGAGCAAAAGGAGAATTATAGAAGCCCTCAAAAATGGAAAATTTGAACCCAAGGCAGAGGATAAGGCAGTGGCATAGACATAGCACTCCGAGCTGTGATTGCAGACAATGCAAACATGTCAAATTCACTTAACCCCCTGGGCTGTTGCATGTACAGAGGGACAATTTCTCCCCAAAATGGTCAGGTGCCACTTCAGTTCCCCAGGGACCCCCTGAAAAGCACAAGAGGGAACACGCACAACCCCAGCAAAGTTCAGAGAGGACACATACGTGTTTGAAGGAGGTGTGGGGAGCTGCGCTGGCTCCTGTTTCCTCCAGGAACTCGTCCCAGTTGAAGTCTGCGTCCTCAATGCTGGAGCCCTCATCTGTTTAAAAGAAAGAGGGGAAAAAAAAAAAAAAAAAGAAAGAAAAGCAGCCTAAAACACAGCCAAAGAAGGCAAAAGTTGTGTCAAGGAGTTCAGGGTGAGAATAGCAACCAGTATAAACATCAACACAAGGGAAAACAGAAAGCTTGTTTTAAAGATCTGCGCTTATCTAGTTTGACTGACTCTTACTACACTTTCAGCAGACTTTGGGACTTCACCAGCCAACACTTTGAGACCTGAAATGACTCTGCTTTCACAGCAGTGGGGGAACAAACCAGTCATACCGCAACAGGCACTTTGTGCTCTTTTATTTTGTATTTGATGACTCTCTTGCTGCAAGTGAGGTGGCTGCCTGCCCGCTGTCACAAGGGTGCAATGGCCTTGCTCGTTCCCCAAAATCAGGTCACCCAGCACTGTTAATTACAGCAGTGCCCTGGTGATAATACTAGGCGTTGCTTCTGTTGGCTGAGCAGTGTGTAGAGCAAACACCCCAACCTTTAGGGCTGGGGAGCCCCAGGTTCAATCGTGCCACCCTTCCTCTCCTTCCTCAGCATCCCTCCAACTCAGCATCCCTCCGTCCCTCTCAGCCAAAGCCCCCATGCCTCCCTCTTCCCCTAAGACTACAGCTGCTTTCCCCCAAGCCCCCCAGCACCCCTCACAAGACCACTATTATGTTCTTGCTCCCTGCACTTGCCCCATTGAAGATTTGGGGCTCTGCATCACTCCTCCCCCCATCCTCACAACAGCCCCACACGATCCTTCCACACGGTGAAGGACTTGACATTACAACTCTTTAATTATTTTTTTTCTTTATAACCACACTGAGCAGAGCAGAGCTGAGACCTCAAACCATTGCTGAAACACACACAGCAATAATTAAAAATAAATCTTCTTTCACTTACAGAAAATCAGCCAAATCTGATTGTTTTCATTTTGTTCCCAAGCAATCTCGCAAACCCAGTTTCATCCCCAGAGCAAAAATATTTACAGTCTAGCAATGAACTCTTCGCAATAAGCATTTATCAGCCAAACTCTGCAAGACCCTTACCTGCCCAAACATTCATCAGGGTGGCCATGATGTAATTAAAGTGACTCATGACAAACTGAATTAAGAAACCTCCCCAGACAGTTTTATGAAGAAAACGGCAGGGTTAATTTATTGCAATTATTGCTACACGTCTCCAGTTTTCAGGACCAGAAAATTATGTTGTGCAATGGGAATCTCTCATCATTAAAAGGGGAAGACATAGGTTTTATTTGCTGCCTACGGAGCCAGACATACATAGGCGAGGGGAAAAAAGCGGATCAGAAGGAGGTTTTTTGAGACAAGAGCTCATGGAGGGTAAAGATCTGTCTGGGAGTTCAAAGAGGAGCGCTGAGCTGTCACCACTGTTAAACACTTTGCAGGCTGTTGCATCGAGTCTAAGGTCTGACTCCTTGCCTTAAACTCAATTAACCTGCTTAAATATGAAGACGTAAATCAACATTTACTCCCCTGACAAAGTGGCGACCAGATGACTTTTCAACTCAGCAAGACAAGAAATAACCCAACTCCATGATTACAGCCTGAAAACAGGCAAATCCAATGTAGAATAAGGGATGGGCCTTGTTTTTGTTTCTTGGAATCATTGCAAAAAGCTCCAGGCATAGAAGCTGACCCTGTTTGAGATATTTGACCCAAAATGAGGGGTTTGCTCATTCTTGACTGAAAGGTAAGCCACAAGTTAACCACAAGGCAGGTGGTTCGTGCAAAAATTGTTAAGAGTTTCCTTCATCTACATCAGGCAGGCAGGCAACTTAGATAATCAGGGAAATTTTTCAGCCTCAATGTCTACAACTCCGTGGAGTTAATGTCTGAGAGAAGAACCAGGTCCACAGATTTCAAAGGCTGAGCCTCTAAAACAAAGTATGTTAGTCCACGAGTAGATGAGCAGATATGGTTATCCATCCCGGGCTTAAAATTATACTGATTTTTAAGCAGCTTTTTACCCTGAGCACAACCAATCCCTGGTCCCACTAAAAATCAGCAACATCTGATGTGAAAAGCAAAAGGTGAAAAGCTAAAAGTGCATTCCCTCTGCCTGGTTGCTCCCCGCTTCTGCATCCAACCGCGCTTGCGGTGTTGGGATGGGCTGCTCAACAACCCCAAAGACATCATCACCTCAGGACATCAGACACAACAGGACATTTCCAGGTCAGCCTTAGGCCCCATTCTCTTCTGCTCAGATACTTCTACATGTGCCATTTTCCTCAGCCCACGACGCTCTCTGTGTATTCTGTTTTTAGTACTGCTTTTTGCTCTAACCTGCTGGGTGAGTCCAGACATCTCCGTTTCTCCAGCCTTCCTCAGTAGTCTTATGGGAAGGAGTGGAAGCAGGGATTTTTTACCCAGTTGAGTATATAACCTCCAGCCTCTGCTGGGAGCAATGCCTCCAGGGTGACAAAATAATCTCCAGAATTTGCCAACAGCACGTTAATTGTGTCAGCATTAACAGATCCTCGTTATGGATACAACAACTCCACCTGCATTTCATAATCTTACCACCCGTGACCTACTCTGCCACGTGCCGAAGCAGAGAGACTCACTGGCCCCCCTGTTCCCACAGCCCCCTGTTCCGTTCACATGCACTCCAGCAACACTCACAACAGCACCTGTTTTAAAAAAAAAAAAAATAATCACCCAGATCTCTTCTTTCTAAACCCAAACAGACAGGCTTCACGACCTCAGGGGGAGGCAGCGTGAGAGCTGCAGCCTGTCAATTCGTTTCTCCCCGCCACATCACAAGTCTGACTCCTCTCCCACGTTTTATCTGCAGACCTTATCAGGAAATTACTTTTACAAGGTCTGTAAAAATAATGTCAGGGTGCTCATTTATCATGGTATCAGTGTTTTATTTTTCTTCGTTTTATCACAAAGGATTTTGAAGGGACTGTAAGTTTCCAAAATGTTTTTTTTTTTTTTTAAAATGGACTTTGCTCCTTTCTAGAAATCTGGCAGGGGGGCATCCAGAGTGGAGACAGCATGGCCCAGGGATGAGACCGACCCAACCCCATCCGTGCATGTAACAGGGCTCTACACAAATCTCCTCATCCATCAGAAAAGCCCTACAGCTGAGGAGAAGGGGACACCTCTTGACGACCTCTCTCAATTGCCTGGAGATCCCCCGATCAAAATGCAGATAGAGAAATGCAAAGTTTCTCTTAATACGCGACAAGAAAGCTTGTGCCTGCTTGAGAAGCAGTTATCACAAAGCCAATCTGTTCGTTGCTCCTCAAGTCACGTGCTCCAAGAACAAAGTCCTGGAGAGCTGCAAAACCCCAGGTGCCAGCATTTCACGGAGCACCCTGCGAGATGACAAATCTGGCATTGAGCCTGTTTTTACATATCAGCTCCCTTTCCAATTATTGGTACTTAGGCCCAGTGCTCTTTCTTAATGAAAGAGTCAAGGCTGGCTAGCCTACAATACAATGATGTATAAACAAGCCCAGGGTGGCAAATAAAATCAACAAGTCATTATCTGTGAGCCTCTCAATGGCTTTAAAGTGCTCATGCATTGACACTATAAAAATGCAACTGTTCCAGCTGTTAACAGCCTCCTGGGATGTTTGGCTATGGGAAATAAAGGGGATAAAAGACCCAAAACCTGTGGCTCCAGAAACACAGATTTTTCCCAGGCTTCACTGAAGGAGAATATTTTTGTGGGAAATTGCTTAGCCACCTTATTTATAGCACATAGATACATTCATGACTTTTTGAGTTAATAGAGAACCGAAATGCTTTAGCAGTTAACACTAAAGATTACTTTAGATTGGATATTAGGAAAAATTTCTACACTGAAAGGTTTATCAAGCACTGGAACAGGCTGCCCAAGGAGGTGGTGGAATCATGATCCCTAGAGCTATTTAGAAGACAGGCAGACATGGTGCTGAGGGACATGGTTTAGGGATAGTTTTTGTCAGTGTTAGGTTGATGGTTGGATTCAGTGATCTGACAGGTCCCTTCCATCCTGGACTATTCTATGATTCTAAAATACCAAGAGAGGCAAGGGAGGGGAACCTGATCTACAGCAAAGCTCCAGCATGGCCTTGGAAGAGTCACCAAGATCCATATCCCCAAAGAAATTTAGGCACCACAAGCCAGTTCTCATGCCAAAACCAATGTCTACAGTTGGCCAACAGAATCCCATCCCAGAGGCACCTACCTCTCTCCCATGGACATAAATGGATCCTATGGGGACTAGACCATGCTGCAGGGACTTTGCCTCCTTCTGGATAACTTGAGACATCCATTAGAAGGCAGCAACCATGCACAGTCCTCCACCCCAGGTAAGTTCCTATCATCCCATTATTTCTGGTTCAGGGGTCTCCTTGAGACAAACATGGCTTCTAAGCAGTTAGCACGATGCATCTTTTTTCCATAAACATGCCCAATTTCCCTTTGAAGCCATCTGAAACAACCAGAACTACTGCACGCCCTTTGAAGCCATCTGAAACAACCAGAACCACTGCATGTACCATGGAAAAAAAAAAAAAAAAAACCCTCAAAACTTTGGGTGGACTAATAACCCCACAGCACAGGAAAGTTTCCACCTCCCTATATCCCACTTAACACCCAGCATTTAAGAGCCCAGCTGAATCTATAACCATCATGGCAAGACAAACTGAACTACCCCACATCTCAAACACATTTTCAGCGCAACACAGCCAGTTTGCATTTTTTTGTAGGACGTTCCTCTCACCTTTCCCTAGCCCTGCTTGACCTCTTGAAAGACCACTTGCATTTCCATCTCAATTGCACAACCATAATGCCGTTGCTTGCTAAGTGGAGCCCAGGTGGCCACTGGCAACCTGCAGGCAAATGTGGCACCCTTGTTTATTATTTTCAAGGTAAAAGCTGCAAAAGCTGGTTGGATTGCACAAGGGGCTGTGCAAAACAGCCCATCCTCACCCTAAAAGCCTACAAAGTCACCTCAAGGACCACAGCTCATAGTTCAACTGGCAATGTCTCACGCTGCTGTGAGTCTTCCCCCCCATTAGTGAACGTGGCAAAGAGTCAAAGACCAGTCACAGCTTTCCAATCATTGGTGTCCAGAGAAATAGGAAAATCACTTGAGTCATTACAAGCAGGGAAGAAATTAAAGGCCAGGTGGCCGAATTTCCGAGGTGCTGAGGGAGAAATGGAGAAAAGTAGACCAAAGGCATGGCTTTGCAAAGGACTTCAGGACAGCATTGACCAACAAAGCACAAACAGCACCACCAGGGAGAAAAGATGCAAAAGACCCTGAAGGTTAAGCATGCAGAGTTTAAAGCAGTCACCCCAACACTGCTAGTGTTCCACTTGAGGAGTGTTGAATCAGTGATTCACCACTGGTGAGGACACCTATTTCCACGGAAGGAGACTTAAGGCATCCCTTTAGGAGGCCGACCTGCAAGCACAGATTTTCATCTGCCATTTACATCTTAGGATCCTTTTGTCAAGAACAGCTTTTACACAAACGCAAGTGAGTTTGGGAAAAGCATTCAAGCACACAAGCACCAACACAAGTACCACCACGCAAATCTGAACCCTTTTGTACAGATGAACTGACTGATGGATCAGTGTTGCTCTGGAGGACACCTATTTCCACGGAAGGAGACTTAAGGCATCCCTTTAGGAGGCCGACCTGCAAGCACAGATTTTCATCTGCCATTTACATCTTAGGATCCTTCTGTCAAGGACACAAACATAAGTGAGTTTGGGAAAAGCATTCAATCACACGAGCACGAACACAAGTACCACCACGCAAATCTGAACCCTTTTGTACAGATTAACTGACTGATAGGTCAGTGCTGCTCTCCACAAGTTCATCAGTTGGACTCTCCCACGCAAACACAGAGCAAGGATGAAGTTGCCAGTTACAGCTGAGCCAAATCACCAATTCAGTGCCACTGGGAGAGGTCCCATTCCCATCAGCATGAGCTCTGGCCCTTCCTCTTCCTCCAGCCAGCTCAAATCACAAAACTGGCAGAAAATTGACTTTTTTTCTGGATTATCTTTCTGCTGGGTTAGTGAGTTGAGTGACTCAGTCCAGAGTACGATGGGCAGCAGAGGTGGTGGAAGAGAACAGGGGTCTCCCATTTTGGCATCAGAAAGAAAGCAGATTTGGTCTAACCGTAATGTGCAACTTCATCATAAGATACAGCCTCCCCTAGAGATATGAGAAGCTCCTTTTGTACAGATTAACTGACTGATAGGTCAGTGCTGCTCTCCACAAGTTCATCAGTTGGACTCTCCCACGCAAACACAGAGCAAGGATGAAGTTGCCAGTTACAGCTGAGCCAAATCACCAATTCAGTGCCACTGGGAGAGGTCCCATTCCCATCAGCATGAGCTCTGGCCCTTCCTCTTCCTCCAGCCAGCTCAAATCACAAAACTGGCAGAAAATTGACTTTTTTTCTGGATTATCTTTCTGCTGGGTTAGTGAGTTGAGTGACTCAGTCCAGAGTACGATGGGCAGCAGAGGTGGTGGAAGAGAACAGGGGTCTCCCATTTGGGCATCAGAAAGAAAGCAGATTTGGTCTAACCGTAACGTGCAACTTCATCATAAGATGCAGTCTCCTCTAAAGATATGAGAAGCCCTAGAAGTTCTCATATCTTCTTCTAGATAGGAGAAGTTAAAGTAGTAATTCCAGCAGAAATTACAAGAAGCTAGCACTTATTTTTCTGGATTTACCATGATGATGCCCAAATTTAGAGAAATGAATCCTCACCTGTAGATGCCCATCCCAGAGCATTAGCACAAGGACAACAAGCAACCACCTCTCTGCTGGCTAGTCTAATGTTTGTGAACCCTCTCACCTGAAGCAGTCAAAAATCCATAAAAAATGGCCTTCAGAACCTCCACAAGCGTTCCCAATGCTCACCAGGCAACACAGTTGTCCCCTGTGAACCCTCTCACCTGAAGCAGTCAAAAAAATTCTGAAGGAAATGAGGGTGAAGGGTCAGAACAATGGGGAAATGCTGTAATTTCTGGATGTTCATTTCCTCTCTTTAAACACGAAACTACAACAAAATAAAAAAGGATGGGGAAACAGAAAGAACACAATATGATGTTCTGGAAAAGGTTTTCCATTGTTTTTTGTTTAAATATTTGAGTAACTGCTACATATTGTAGAAGAGATCCAGAAGAAAAAGAGCTCCAACTTCCCAACCCATCAACCAGAGATCTACTTTAGCACTCCACAATATAGGACACAGTCCAATCCATTAAAAATGGCCTTCAGAACCTCCACAAGCGTTCCCAATGTTCCCCTGGCAACACAATTGTCCCAACCTCTACCAGTGATCAGTTGGAGGGCTGTACCAGTGAAGACAACCCATGGGGGCGAAGGAGAGCTCACCTGAATCAAACTGCTCCATGTTGCCATTGGCCGGGCTCTGACCCTTCTCCGGGGAGAGATGTTGGGTCTCTGGCATGGTGGCAATGAAAGACGCCCTTGTCTCCATGGTTCAGAAGAAGAGTCCTTGCCTTCCTAATTCATCCTGCAGCAGGGACCGCCTAGAGGACAAACTAAATGAAAAATAAAAAGAAACAATGAGTGATTTGTTCCACCTACACCAACCCATTCCCTCTGCCTTTCCTAATGGGTTTCAAGTTATCCCACGTTGACTGCAACCCTTCAATCCTGCTCCCTCCTCCAAGGTGAAGCTATAGTTGGATAAGGAACCACAATGGAGGACACCTCCCCATAGTGGCAATAATATCATAAGAGCAATAACAACAGAGAAGATGAGGCAATAAACAGCATCCACAGTATTCAACACAAAGGATTCACCTCTAAAAGTTCGTTCCAGCTCCCTGTATTACCAAGGGAGAGGGACAGACCAGCCCATAAGGTGGCACAACCCATGGCAAAAAAAAAGACACCCAAGAAAGGCCAACCCAACCATCCTTCAAGAAGTCCAGCCCTTGACATCCAACTTAACGGCTAACACTGTGTGAGCTGTATCTCACACCATAAATATTCAAACTTCCAAAGGTGGAGATTTGTGATAAAAAGAAACAGAGGAAATATTGAAGGGGGAATACTTGGGAGAGACTGGAATAACTCTAGAAATTAAAGTTCAGCATGCAAAATGCAGATATCCTAATGAAATAGTGGTGACTGCAACCATTATTTTGTTTTCCAATGAAGACTGACCAAAGGGAACTGCCCAAGTTAGTACCATGCAAGGTAGAAAATATCAACTCAGGTGTAGATTGGGTTATGTTGGCAGAGGAGATTCTTCTAGAAGGAATGACCATAGTAAACACAAAGTGGAATAAAAACACGCAGAGATGAAAAATGATATGAGAAAGGGAATACAGACTGACGGGATCTTGAATCAGACACCAGAGTAAATGAGAACTATATTTCTAGCTACAGTAACCCACCAGACAAGCAATACCCAGAGATACACCTTTAGGAGTAGATTAAAAAGAGCTCCAAAGTGAGCTTTCCAGTAAAACCCTCTGAGTTGATGATGAATTACGAGGTGTCAAAGGAGGACTGAAAAAGAGAAACCAAAGCGCGGGTTATGGGCACAGAGGGAACCAGCTATTCACACAAGATATGCTAAAGCCAAGACAGATCGTAGAGAAGGTACGTGTCCAGAATATATGATGTGGAGGACTGGTCCCCCTTATTAGTGGGTGCCTCCAAGACCCGACAGGGGGACTATATGGTCAGCATTGACACCAAATGCTCTGCAAGAAGTGTGACTAAAAGTAGGAAAAGCAGTTTACTGCCAGAGGCCAGGCAAAACAGGAGGTAATAAGATTGTAAAAATAATATGGGATTTTTTCAAGTTTTACTACCCAGGAAGCATATTCAGGAAGATCAGATATGGTGGTTATAAAACAGAAAGAGGGAGAGTGCTCCGTCACTGATTTTTTTCATTTCCACTTTTTAAAGCCGTTCCAATGAAAATTGTGAGGGAGAAATGGACGTGCGTGAGCAGTTATAACAGGAACTGAAAAGGAAGAGGAGTATGTCAAGTGCAAGCGTGATATCCATTAAGTGGACCACGGTGGGACTGTCTGCTGGAGCAATCACAACGGCATCATGGCAACTGCAATTAAACCATGCTAAAAGCATGGGTGTTTCACAAAGGATCACTGGTAGACACAAATCACCAAGGCAGGTGATACAACCCCCAACCGAAGGGGTTTTGGACAAAGTCAGATCCCCATCAGCAACTTGTGTTCCTCACCCCAAAGGGACACGCTAACAGGGGAACAAAAAATATTTTTAAAAAAGGAGACTATAAAAGAATTTGGAGTAATATTCTTGTTGGTCTCTTTGCAAAGTGCTCAGCGTAGTTGGAGCACTCCATAAATAATAATGATCACTTCCCCACTGTGATGGACACTACAGCACTTCATCTTTATTCTTTGTTGACATGAGACTTGCTAATGAATTAAGTGTATTATATACTATGAGTAATTTGAGTGCAGCTAACCTCAGAACATATATATCACTCATCCCCAGTGTATATTAAGTTTCAATTAACTATGAAACTAGAAGCAATCAGTCTACTGAAAGTAAAAAAAACATTTCTCCTTTGGTAGAGAATACTTCCGTAAATATCATTAATAATAAATTGGTTAAGTATCAGGATTTTACATCAAGCTTGTTAAATGCGAGAGGATGGGAGGTGTCAGCAGAAGCTAAACCTTGGGTGGATTCAGCTGCTTTCATTTTTGCCTGGGACCAGACAATGATGGAAGCTAATCTTTGTCTATTAAAAAAAAAAAATAATAATTCAAAGAACAGAGAGAAACAGAGACGAATCAATCATCTTAAACAGAACTCAGGGGTAACAATAAAAATACCAAGAAGAAAGATAAGCTACTTGGTAGTGTAGTTAAATCTTGTGACACTTCTATGATGCTGATAAGACAAAGTTATGAGCTGATAAAAAGCTGAAGGTGTCCAATCAGCGAACAACAGTATTTGCTGGTTCTTATGCAGTCAAGCCCCAAATCTGCCACCAGACCCACAAGAAAGGCCTGTTCCCCTGGGTCATGGAATTGCCCTTCAGAAATGGAAAATGGATGGGAAAACCAGCAGGAATCTGTCCGAGGTGTTTGCCACATGGCTGGGATTCATCCTTGGTGGCCACATCTGGGGCTGGGCTTGAGATCTCTTCAATTAAAAGGGGACAACGCAGAATCTCTTTGCCAGATTCAGCAATGTCATTGACATTTATTTTTTTTGTTTAATTCTGTTTTAATTGAGTTTTTTGCTTAAGCTATGGACAACTTCTTGGTTTTGAAATGTCAAGTCAAAAGCACCCACATCCCAAGAAAACTGGATCTGTCAGAGGCTATAGTTTATCTTCTTATTTTGGGAATAACTACTTTACCATTTATGGTAGGAGAACATTTAAGTGTTTTCCCAATACTATGTGACAACAAGACCAAACTCTTAAGCAAACACAAGCTTCCAGATAGCTCTGAGCCCTGGTGTTGATATAACTAACCAGCAAAGAAAGCTGACAACGGGTATTAATTTTTCACTTCTTATTAATTGCTGCTAATTAACACTTCAAACAGAGTCCCCAGCCATACTGTTAACAGCAGCGTGCTGGCTGGCCTGCAATCATCAGCATCACACAAGCAGCACACACCACTCTCCTCCCATTTCTCCCTTAGTCTGAAGAAACCTGTGTCCACTGGAGACCAAATTAAGGACCACAAAGTCACATCTCCAGCCCGTAAACCAGGGGATGGGAAACAACAGCAAAAGTGGCTCAAGGTGACACTACACTAGGAGGGAACACAAAGATAAATATTACGAAATGCATTTGAAAGAGCAGGGAGGGAAGGGGGGGAAATCCCCTCGTTTCAGATCCCTTGTTCATTGTTTCTGCACAGCGGTGGTTCAAACCGATCCGATTCTACCCCCACGCAGCTCCCGTTCCCCTGGTATTTAATTCAGATCCAGGCTCTTAATTCACAGGCAGAAAAAAAAAAAAAAAAAAAAGAAAAAAGAAAAAAAGAAAAAAAGAAAAAAGAAAAGAAAAAAAGAAAAAGAAGCCAATATTAAAAAAGTCTCTTTTATTTCCTTCTTCCCACGGCTGTCAGTCTCAGACACACAATTATCTCAAACACACTGCCTTGTCATCTCTATCAATATTGGCTCTTTGTAGAATTGCCTTCCTCACACCATTTTATTTTTCTCTTCTCCTGTCGACTCCACCCTGTTTTTTCCTTCCTTTGGAGCAAGCCCCTGTAGGGAGAGGTCCCCTACCCAGTGCTCTTAGAGTTAGCCCTGACAAACTTACGTTCTCCCTCCAACACATGCTTGGTTAATTGGGATGGACATAAAAAAGGCAAGCTACTGGGAAAGAGCATGCAAAAAAGTTCTCATATCCTTGAAACCTCCTGCCTGCAGAATGCATCAGTTGTGCCAATGTCCTGCTGAGTCCTGAGTGGTGAAGAAGGGCAAAGCCCACCGCTTTCCCAAAAATCTGGCCCTTGCCTCCAATATCCAGGGACATCCATTGACTTGAGATGGTCCCACCTCTCACTAAGGAGTCAGTTGATGAGTACAGCAGGGCTGCATAAGGGATGCCACCATGACCCTGCATCCTTGGTGAACAGACCCTACCAGGGACCTGTCCAGTGGGAGAGTGGCTCCATAGGCAGCTTCAGGGCCCACTGCATTTCCAGAGGTCGACCTTAGGTATGTTGGGATATAAGGAATCTGCATTTCTCTTTCCAGCCAAGCTGGAGGGAAGTTGAACATGAGGTGGCCCCAGCCGACTTTCCTGGTGAATGCAAGTGCTGATTTCACCCAGTCTCCTCAAAGCCAGGCACCACCACGTGCAATTTTATGTAGCCTTTACCATCTAAGCCTTTTGCAGGACCATGAGTGGAAAAGCCACTGCAAAGCAATCATGGAAACCATTTTGAAAATATGAGACCAAGTCCACCTGCCTGAGCAATTAGGAAATTGCAGTAATTGGTGCTGAGGCTCTCAGGAAGCAGGACAGGACTCTGCTGAGACCTGCCCTGCCTCAACCCAATCCCAGAGCTGAGACAGTCACTCCAATTGCCTCCTCCTCCATCCTACTTCCACAACACGTCATTTTTTTAATATCCCCACTAATGTCCCCCACCCAGCCAAACAGCTTTATATCAGATAAAATGAGGGCACCTGGGCCTGAGAAGATGGAGACTCACCTAGTCAATAATGTGCAGCTGAGAGAAAGCATCTCCAAAAGGAGATTTGTATGTTTAAATTGAACACCCAAAATTTGGATGAGATGAACAAATGTTAGGGGGTGCCTGTCCTGCATTGCCTTGCATCACCAAGATTTTGGATTTAAGATTTTAGACATCCAAGTTTGCCAGAAAGCAAACCAAAGAAGTGAGATGCTCAGATACCACGACACTTTGCCCTGTGCCCAGGGCAAAGGGAGACTCAGCCCTCTGGAACTAGGTCCAGCATGCATACGAGTTGGCCACTACAAGGCTGATCTTGAATCATGCTCTCCCTCCTCAGGTGAGCCACCAAGGCATCT